TGCACTGGCAGCACTAACAGAGCAAATTTCCAAGACACATCTATCAGGGTAAAAGTGAAGAAGATATAAAAAACACAGTCCTACTATGAAGGAAACCACTTGTATCCAGGGTAAAGTTACCATTTGGAAAATATTTAGTAACTTTACTACATAAAATGTTCATGAAGTAAAATGTGTTCTGTGTTCATTCTGTTAATAATTTCCACCCTGGGGTGATCATTTTCTGAATTCAAATTGGTTTCCTCATCATGTAGTGTGGACACCCAGCTTGGAAAAGTTGGTCGTGTGTCAATTCCTTACTATGGAGTATATGTGCTATGGAGTAAAATCTAAAGTAAATTGCACCACAGTAGCTAGGCAATTAAAATCACAGTCAATGGTTGGGTAGTAAACACCTCTGAAAATCAGACCAATTACTTAACTGACTAAATATGGTCTGTTGAGCATAAGTTTTTAATTTAATTTAGAATTAAAAATCTTGGCTTATGGTTTTCTTATTTGCTGCTTTTAATGCTTCTAAGTATTTGTTTTCAAAATTTAAATATTTGCCATCATCTATAATAGACAGGCTATGTATGTTAAAACTCCTTTTTCTTCCCTACAGTATTTTTCACACTTAAATTTGTTATAAGTAAAAAAATATATTTCCCCCCCAAGTTAGGACTAGTTTTCTGCCTTATCTGGGTGGAAGTAGGCATACAGAAGTAAAAGGACATGTAAACTTAGGAATCTTAACATATAAGGCATATCAAACCTCTGCATACCAAGGTTTGAATAAAAATCTGATCTATCCACAACAGAATATTGCTGAGCCCTCCCACTATGGGCCTGTAGATCTTTAGATGTTCTTTTGAACAATTTTGGGGAGCTGTGATTGGCTTCTATTTTTTTTTAAACAAATATATATGTAAAAAACCCCATTGTGCTAGTGAAATAACTTATTCAATGATATGCAGACATAATGAAAAACATTTTTTTTGTTGGTGATTACCCTAACAAAGCAACTAAGGCATGGATACATATCTTTATGATAATACATTCTGCTATGTATTAAAGTTAACATCCATATTTTATATGCACAATTTATGTTGTGAACAATGATGTCTTTATTTACTCTTCCAGGCTTCTAAAGATAATGATGTTGCTTTTGTGAGCCTTTTATGTTAATTTTATTTTCTGCTTATTTTATGCAGGGTTATTTATTTCTCCTATTAGTTTTATTTCTTGATTTTAAAGTAATTTTTCAACGTTTTTACAAAGTACCAGATTATCAGATGCAGATGTACATATTCAATTACAAGAGCTTAATCTATGCCAATTCCAATTCAGTCAAACACTTACAGAAAGATTTTCAAAGACATAAATAGTTTCTAATTCCATTTCAATTTCAGTAAGTATCCACAAGCCTAAAATAGGTGCCCAAACTTCTTATACAATGCATGGGGAGAGTTCGGTACCTCAGAATAGGATTGCCAAAAGTCATCATGCCAAATGAGGAGTCACTTAAAAAAGCTAATAAAAAACAGAGAGAGAGAGAGAGATTGAGAGAGAGAAGTGCATCTTTTATTTCACCAATCTTAGCTGAGGCATCTATCTCAGATTATGATTCACAGACCAGAAGAGTATTCTGGTCTTAGGTTCTTTTATCATTCATTTCCAAGGTGTAAGAAGATTCAGCTTTTATCACATCATCCAGAAAACATGAAACCTGGACTGAATTCCTTCCCTTGCTTCCTAGGAGAATGCTCTAATCAACTGGTTATAGGTATGCCTGCATGCATGCTCCTCCTGTAAAATCTGTGCAGAAAATAATTCAGTATTTATTGGGCCAGACAAAGGGAGTATGACTCTTTAACCCAATGATTAAGAACATTCACTTGAGAGGAGAAATACCATTCCTGTACTATTTGATCTAAGCTATGATGACTTTGAATAGCCTTGGAAGCAAATGGCTACATGAGAGTGCTGGCTGGCACCTTAAAACTGAGTTGCCTTTGGGGGTCACAATGGACGTGTCTACACGAGTTGCTTTACTGCAGAGTAGACTAATCTACTTCTCAGTAAAGCATCACCATCTAAACATAAACACCATTTACAGCACAGTAAATTAGTCTACTTTACAGTTAACTACAACTGTAAATACAGGTAGTAAACTAACTGTGCAGTACATACTGTGCAGTAGCACACATGCATACAGAAATTTGCTCTCAGCCAGTCCCAACACCAGGGGGCCACCAGGGGGACCCTAGGGGGCTACAGGGGCTACCAATACCAGAGGGCAACCAAGGGATCACACCAGGGGGCCCCTGGTCCTGGTGCTGCTTCGTTCCCAGTACTCCTAGGAGCTGGGTGCTGAGCAGCACCAGGACTGGGGAGCTCCCAGCCAGCTTGAGCTGGGCAAGTAAATCCCAGTATAGCTGGGGGCTGGCTGGAAGTTTTTGCACTTCTGGAGCAGTTCCCAGACAGCCCCCAGTTAGGTGGGGATTTTCCTGAGCAGCTGGGTGCTAGCTGGAGCTTTACTGCTTCTGGGACAGCTCCTGGTCAGTCCCTGGCTGCATGAAGAAGCTCCCCTGGTCATTGGGTTCCCCATGTGCACAGGAACATGAGAGCTCTGCAGCAGCAGCTATCTCCCAGCCCCTTACACATCAGTCCTCCTTCCTATGTGCACAGGGCCAGCAGTCACTACAGATGGCAGAGCTCTCTTGGCCACATGCAAATTGGGGCTTTCTGTTGTGCTTCTTGCCAGCCTCCAGGCTAAGCACCCTGGGGGAAATTGGAGGTCTTCCTGGCTGCTGCAGGGGGGGCAGAGCAGGGTAGGAGCAACCCTGTACCAATTTTTTACTGTTCAGTAAGCTTATATAGCATTAATAGCATGTGCAGATGCACTCCATGTGGCATGCATGGATAGTTTCCCAAATTAGATTTATTCCTATGGTGTTTAGTCTCTATTTATAGTTAGTGTGAAGCTGTATTCTGTTTTGTAAGATTCCTATCTGTAGGTATTATAAGGTTTTTTAATATAAATCCACATTTGCAATTTCATGATGTAACTAAAAAATGATCAAGTGAGGAATTTAGTACACATCCAAGACATTATTTGTGTGTAATGGGAAAATCAACTCCAAAACAGAGAGGCAACTGAGAGAGGCCAATGTTCCTTAGTCAGAGGGCTTCAGGTGTCTCAGGAGGAAGACCTTTCTGGAGACAAGAAATGTCATGAGAATGCTGGGGGAAGAGGAGGAGGCTGCTTGGAAGTGATTTAAGAAACTAGTTAAGGGATATCTTTTGTCCTCTGGATGCAAGGCTCAGGAAAAGTGCAAGGATTTTAGCAAAATTAATTTTGCCAACTTCCCTTGTAACTTACCTGGCACTTAGCAATGGCAGGGCACCAGCCAGACCCCTGAAGTAGCAGCTCAGCAATACCAGAGCTCCTGTTCATTTCTCTACATGCTAGACTCCTAAGGTATGTGTAAGGTATGTGTAGTTTTTTTCATTGCCCTAATTGGCCATCTGTGCTGCCTGTCCAGTTACATTGCCCATGCCCAGGTTGTGGAGGTCGAATGACCTCAGGATCCAGGGCTGGGAGAATCAATAAGAAAGATGATATCTGGAGTTTCTGGCATGTCTATCAGGAAGGCTAAGATGTAGCCAGTACAGAGGCTAAAAAACTTTACCTGTTTTGCCTTTCTGTCCAAACATATGGTCAGTTTTGCTTGTATTGTTCTTTTTTCCTATAAAATAAATCTTTTTGTTGTTTTGCCCCCTTACTAAAAACCTGTGGATAGAGTGATTTCTCGGCAAGTAATATTTTAGGGTAGCCCTTTCTATGGAAAGGGGGGAACTATAATTTCTTTTGCATTCCAATAAGCAGATGACTTACAGCAGCATTTCCCAACTGGTGTGCTGCGGTACACTGGTGTGCCATCAGGCATGTCCAGTTGTGCCATGGCATTTTGGGCTGGAGCCCTCCACGCCCCCAGTTGTTCCCTACCGCTCTGTGTTCAGCCATGTATCTCCTCCACCTCCCTCTGTGTTTGGCTGCTCACCACCCCTCCCTCCCCACTCCACATTTGGCCAGTGTGCTGTGGGGTGGGAGAGGTCATATAAGTGTGCCGTGTGGTGAAAAAGGTTGGAAATGCTGACCTAGAGATTGCTAGGATACCCTTACTCTGTTTGTTGAATCCAATATAAAGGCAGTGGAGCTGAGGCTTGCTAAGGTAAGGAGTTATCCCGGGGCATTTTAGTCAGTTCTTTAGGAAAGTGGCAG